GATTTGTCGGCTTCACTGTAACGTGGCTAGGGCTTGCGGCGCTCCCAGTGTTTGTTCCATGCAATGTTGCGGTGGTTAGAGCTTTCGAGCGGCCCATCTTGTTAGAAAGGCGCCCTGTTGAGTGAATGATGCACCGGCGTGGCGGCTGGCAATCTTCGCCCCCCTTCCCCTCGAGTTGAAGGGAACGCTTCGATGGGAATCGCTATCGCTAAGCATCGCTTGCCTTGCCGCCGCCTTGGCTAAAGGCGGCGCCAGTCCCTTTGCCTCGACCATCGGCGGTCCATGCTTTGAGGCGGCGCGGGAGGAGAAAAGGTTGTTCTCCTTTCCGTGCCGCGTTTTCGGGCTTCTTGGGGCGTCTTGGGGGCCTCTTGTGGGCCTCTCGTGGGCCTCTCGTGGCCTCTTGGGGGTTCCTTGGGGCCTCATGGGGGCATCCTGGGGCGGAAGGCTCGGGTTGTCAGTTCGGGCCCCCGTCTTGGGTCCCTCAAGGGGCCGTTTTGGGGCTTTCTTGGGCCGTTTTCGGCGCCGCTTGAACCTTCTTGAGGCACTCGTGGGCCGTGTGGGGGCGATTTCGGGGTCCTCTTGAGCCGTCTTGGACAATATAAAAACTCGGAAGCCGTGTGTGCAAAAATGTGCGCCTCCTTATGGATGGGTCGGTTTTTACCTCTTGGGGCTCCTTTGGGGGTGCTCTGGGAGGCCTCTTAGTGCGCCTTGGGAGTTTTTGTCGGCTGATTGGAGGCCATCCTGTGCGTTTTGGATTGATCGTTCGGCGACCCAGGGCCTTGTTGGGCCGTTTCAAACGCGTCTTGGGGCCCTCTTGCTTCGTTTCGAAAACTTGTGTGGGCTCGAGCAAATCACGCGAGAAGACGCCCGGGGCCCAGGGGGCGCCCGCCAAGCCCCAAGAAATTTGAGAATTCGGGGTCTGGGCCCTTCAAAGACTCCTCAGGATTGAGGACTGAGGCTCTGGGGATTTAGCGAGGTACCGAAGGACACATCAACTCGTGCCACTTGGAACGGTGGCGGATGTTGTTTTGTTGGGTTTTCTCAGTGTACCAGGTATATGTACATGCATATCCAGGTATATGTATATGCATATGCATATGTACATATATCTGTGTATATGTATGTGCATGTGTATATGTATATGTATCTGTATATGTATACGTATGTCTATATGTATATATATACGTATATGTATATGTATATGTATATGTATATGTATAGGTATATGTATATGTATATGTATATGTACATGTCTATGTATATGCATATGTATAGGTATATATAGGTATATGTATATGTATATGTATATGTATATGTATGTATATATATATATATATGCATATGTACATGTATATGTATATGTACATGTACATGTATATGCATATGCATATGTATATGTATATGTATATGCATATGTATATGCATATGTATATGTATATGTATATGTATATGTATATGCATATGCATATGCATATGTATATGTATATGTACAGTTATATGTTTGCGTGTGCTTCGATATCATTGTATGTGTCAGTTTATGTGTACGTAGCTGTATATGCGTATGTATATGTATATGTGTATGTTCAGGTACATGCATTTGCGTGTGTACATATTGTTGTGATGCATATACATATACACTGATATGTATGTATATATATATATATATATATATATGTTTCTGTATGCGTATATGTATATTGCGAAGGCCTTACGGCCGGTGCCGCCGACCCTGAAGGGGAACGACGACGGCGGCGGCGGCAGTAGCGACGACGACGATGCTGACGTGGGTTGAGTCCTCAAACGTGCTTCTTGGGGTTTCTTCCGAGCGCTCTCGGGGGCCTCTGGGGGGATGTTTGGGGGCCTCTTGGGAGCCTCTTGGGGCCTCTTTGGGCTTCCTGGGGGCCTCTTGGGGGCTTTTCGGGGCTGAGGGCTCGAAATGTCCGTTCGGGTCCCCCGTCTGGGCACTCTCTTGGAACCGTCTTGGGGGCTTCTTGTGCCGTCTTGGAGGCGTCTTGGGCCGTCCTGGGGCACTCTTGGGCCGTTTGGGGACTCTCTTGGAGGCCTCTTGGGCCGTCTCGGGGCGACCTTGGGGGCCTCTTGGGACGTCTTGGCGCGTGGGGAAGCGGAAGAGGCGAGAACGCCAAAATTCTTGAAAAACGTATGGGAAATCCATGATTTTTGCCTCTTGGGGCTCTCGTGGGAACGGTCCTGGAGGCCTCTTGGGGCGTCTCGCAGACCTCTTGGGCCGTCTGGAGGCCGTCAAGGCGTCTTGGACAGATCATTCGGCGATTCGGGGCCCTCTTGGATCGTCTTTGGGGCCTCTTGGGGCACTCTTGGCCCGTCTTGAGGCTTTTTTGGGCTCCGTGATTCCCCGGGGGGGCGGCGTAAAAATCCGGGACCCCCCCCGGGACCCACCCAGGGACCCCCCCCATCCAGGCGGGGAAGGGATCAAAGGGAAGGGGCTTCCCTTCGACTCAATTACGACGTTGCTCAATGTCGCTTTGGACTGGCACGCTTCAGGAGGAGGCCCTGGGAGAGGGGTAGAAGCAACGACGCTGTGGGGAAAAGGGGAAGGAACGACGACGACGACGAAGAGGGAACAGACGGAGAAGCCTCTTCCACACGCCGACAGGGTCGGCGGATTTAAACATATGTTTATGAGTATGTTCACGTCTATGTATATGCTACATGCAGATGTGTATGTATACGTATGTGTACATGTGTATGCTTATACGTTTGGATGTGCTCATGTATTTGTATACGTACATTTACAGGTGTTTGCATGTGTATGCGTACGCTTTTTTTGTGTTTGCGCAGGTAGATGTACATGCATATAACCACGTATATGTATATGTACATGTGCAGCTATCTGTTTATGTCTAGGCAACTGCGTATGTATATCTGTATGTGTAGGTGTATGTGTATGTGTAGGTGCATGTGCATGTGCATGTGCACGTGTACGTGTACGTATATGTATGTGGTTGTATGTGTATATGTATGTTTGTACGTCTGAGTGTCTGTCTGTATGTATGCATGCATGTATGTATGTATGTATGTATGGATGTCGGTACAGGTGTGCATGCATGCATGTATGTATGTATGTATGCGTATATGTGTGTATGCGTGTACGTATGTATGTATGTGTGTATGCATGCATGCATGCACGCATGCATACAGATATGCATGTAATGTATGTATATATGTATGTATGTATGCATGCATGCATGCATGCATGTATGTATGTATGCATGCATGTATGTATATACATCTATGCATGTATGTATGTATGTATGTATGTGTGTATGTATGCATGCATGTATGCATGCATGCATGCATGTTTGTATGTATGTATGTATGTATGTATGTATGTATGTATGTATGTATGTATGTATATATGTATGTCTGTATGTAGGTGTGTGTATGTATGTATGTATGTACGTATGTATGTATATATGTATATATGTGTCTGTATGCGTGTATTCATGTATCTGCTTACATGCATACATGTATGTGTGCATGCATGTATGTATGTATGTTTGTCTGTCTGCCTGTCTGTCTGTCTGTCTGTATGTATGTATGTATGTATGCATACACACATATATATATGCTAGAGAGAAGGGAGGGCTTGATTGAGCGAAGATAGAAGGGGGGTGGCGAGAAGGTGGAGCCAGGGCGGGGCGAGGGAGGAGCGGGGAACGCCGAGGGACAAAGAAAGGGAAGATGGGCAAATATGGAAGGTGATTCGACGCACTGGGAAACCACGTCGGTCCAGGTGCACCAGTAAACGTGTGGGAACCCCGCAGTTTTGTTCGCATTTGTTCGTCAATGATCGTTGCTTTCATCCTATTCTTGAGACCCGCGTGCCATATGATGTTATGTATCGCAAGCACATCCCCCAGTCAGTGTATGTGTGTATGGTGCCATTCCTCTTCTCCTGGGAAACAGCACTTGTCATGTGCGATCTCATAGTTGCACGACACACTGGAAACACATTCCCATGAGTGGTACATCCTGCAATGTTTCCAGCGCCATGCGGCGCCCCACGCGTCCACGCGCTGTTGACGGAGTTGTTTTCTAGGTTCGGGAAAAAGACCGTGGGCAAACACAGAGGCCGGCGGATTTGACGGCGATGGCCTGGGAACATGGCCGCACAGCAACAAGGATCGCGTTCGCGCAGAGGGCTGGCCTTCTCAGAAGGCTCGGAAGGCTCCCGGCCTTCTCGGGAACTTTCTAGCCCTCGTTCTGCCTTCGGCGGAGCCCCGCCGCCTTTGAGAAGTCCTGCCCCCCCGACGTTCCCCCATCGGCGCGCCGCCGAAAGCAACCATGCGGATGTCCGAGAGCTCATGCCCGTGTCGTTCTTGGCCTCCCGCTGCCCCCCCCTTCCCGTCCCGCAGCCGTGCCTGGCTCGGGGACCGACCCGACTGCGCGGCGCCCCTCCCCCTTGGACGACAGCTGACCAGGCCGCCCAGATGGGGCCAGAGCGTCTGTGGTTTTTTCCAATCGTCGGCGGCGCGCAGAAGGGGGACCTGAGAAGGTGCAGGCCTTCTCGGAAGGCGGTGGAGCTTCGGAGAGTGCTTATAAGGGCTCTCTGAAAGCCAGGTGCCTTCTGAGCCTGTTGAGAAAAGGCCCGCCCCCTCTGCCTTCTCCCTGGGCGCGCCGCCGAGGTTGGACAGGCTCGCACGAGCAGCCCGCCGAGCGTCGAGTACCACCCTTGAACTCAGGTTCGCGGGCGTACTGCAGCAGAGTGAGGCTCCTGCAAGCCGTGGCGGGGCCGAGGGAGCAACGAACCGCCGCATCGCCGATGCATCGGCGACTCTGAGCCCCACTGTCTCCACCCCGACCGGCGCTCGCCGAGGCATCGGCGATGCGGCGCGGTCCCCCGATCTCGCCCGCCGTAGGTTCACTCCGCGTTGACGCGGCGGAGCCGCCAGCGCGGGCGTGCAAGGTTCAATGTCACCAGCATCTCGAGCTTGGTCAGAATCGAACGAACTCCGATATCGGAAGACCACGAGGCGTCGGAAACCGGCGCTCACGTCATCGTGACGCGATTTTGTCGTTTTCGGCTCCATTTGGGTGGCTTCCAAAAGAAACAAAACGATGTACTTTTTTTTTTCAGAGGTCTGCGCGGATTTCTCGAGTTGGCGCTGGGCCCGCCTCCTCAGGACCCTCTCTCCGCGCTCGGGTAGCGGCGCCCGAGGCGCCTCCCAGGTGGTGGCGGGGTGGGGGGCCCCAGCGCCGCCCAAGAACTCTGCGCGGACCACCGAAAGTGCAGGATTGTGCCGTCGTTTGTTCCTCCTCCTGCTGCTCCTCCTCCTCCTCCTCCTCTTTCCCCCCCTGCTCCCCCCCCCGCTCCCCCCCCTCCTCCTCTGGCTACTCTGGCCATGTCCGCCAAGTCGCGCGTCCACAGCCCCGGCCCCAGCTCCACGCCTGGGATTCGTACCCGCATCAGCCGATCCAGTGACGTGCCCGCGAGGAAGGATACCTTCCCGCCTTGTCGAGGGCGGGGAATGCTCATGCCCAGCGCTCCGCGATGTCCCCGCAGGCAAGTCCCCAGACTTCCGCAGCTTTGACCTTTTCAAGACGGGTCCCCCGGAAGGCCCGACCCTCTCCGCTGGGGCTGGGTTCTCCGTCCCGAGCTGTTTGTTGGCAGCCCAGGCGGCCGAAAACAGCCCCCAGAATTCGAACGCATTGACACATACCCGATGGTATTAGTCGGTGGCGCGCCGAGGGAGCACGTGCGGGGAGACGTGTCTTCTCAGAAGCCCCCCGTGGCTTCGGAGAAGGCTTAGAGAGGGCTTCTCGAAAGACCGGAGGTCGTCTGAGCCTTCAGGGAAGACTCGCCCCCCTCTGCTGCCCCCCTGGTCGCATTGCCGAGCTTGGCCTTCGGGTCATAGCTCGGGCCTCGTTCGGGACGATTCGGGCAGCCCCTGAACGCTCTCGGCGAGGTGCAGCTGCCGGACAACGCATTCCGAGTCTGGAAGACCATCGAGAACCAACGAAAACGCCCGAAGACCTCTGACGTCGAATCCCCTCTGCCTTCCCCCCCGCGGCCCTCCCCCGCTGGGCGCGGCGCCGAGTTGGATCGGCGGCTGTGGGTGGATCCTTGGCGTGGGCCAGCGCCAGCTCGGCCGCCAGGCCGGTGGAGAGGGCGGCAGCCGCCGCGGCGAGGCCGGCGCCGGCCGGGGCGGCGCCGTCGCCGGGGGAGGCGGCGGCGGTCCCGCAGCCGGGCCGGCCGTGCATCTGCGCCCTCGCGGGGTGGCCTGCCAGGGAAAGAGCAAAGTCGGGGGCGCCCAGGCGGTGCGGTTGCCACACACGCTATGGTCGACTGCACGCAAGAGTGACCCTTCGCCGGAATGACCTTTGGTGTGTGCTGAGCGCGATGCGATAGCGGCTGCTTGCGCGCTAGGATTTGGCCACCTTGAGCCCCCTGAGTCCGCGCACCGAAGATCATTCTTGCCTAGGCTCACTCTTGTGTGTAGTCGATCTAAGGAAAGAGCAAGTCGGGGGCACCCAGGCGGTGCGGTGGGCCCACGCGCTGAGTCGGTGGAAATTCGGGGCTGCCGCACGGTTGTTGGGGGCTCGGGTCGGGTCGCTGTCCGAGGATTTCTCGGGCGACTGTGGCCTGCAGGGTCGCAAGACCGCGCGGTGACGGACAGTGCGGTGAGGTTTTTTGGTATTTCGAAGTCACCGCGCGGTGTGTCGCCGCGGTGTGGCGCGGAGTCCTGGAGGACGAGCCCGCTCTTTTTCGCGTAGTGAATCAATCACGTCGGGAGTTTTTCACCGTTTTCGAATTTCGGGCCGTTTGCAGGCCCCAGGTCCGCCAAACAACAAGTCGGGATGAGAAGCCCGCCCAGGGGAACGCGTGGCTCGCCGTTCAGCTTGAGATGGCCAGTTGGCGCCAGGTGTTCGTGCCCTGGCATCAGGTGGATGTTTTTTCCCTTCGATCAGTGCTGTTTTCCTCAATGTCGGCCTCCGTGGACATCTTTCGGGCTCCATGACAATCACGATTTCTACCTGAGTGCACAAATACGGAAAGGGGGCGATACCTGTGGGGGTCGCCATGACGATTTTTTTTGGATGGCCAGTTGGTACAAGGTGTTTGTTTTCAGCCGTAGACTTCCCTAGACTTTTTCCAAGGTGCTTTCTCCCAATAGATTTACCAGACTCTCCATGTATATCCTTTGACTCCGGAGGTCTCCCTCAGCTTTTCCTTGGACTTCAATGGATTTCTTCGGGTAGCGAAGACTTTGCGCCAACCGACCACCCTGAGATCTAGGAGCCGCGTTTTTGTCACATCGTGCATGTTCGCCCGTCTAGTGGCCCCAGTACAAGGTCGAGGGCCGTGTTTGTGATTTCCTCAAATGTGGCAATTTTGTCGTGGCGCCAGATCTCAGAGAGAGGGGTTCTTGAGATATACTGGTGTTTGTTGGTTTGTTTGTTTCATTCGTCTTGTTTGTTTGCTTGCTTTGCTTGTCTGTTGTTGTGATTTTTTTTCATGCTCATATGTTAATGATGGCGTATATGTATGTATATGCATATGTACATGCACATACATATATAATATGTATATCTATGTCTATGTACACGAATACGAATGTGCATATGTATATGCTTATGCACACGCACATGCATATGTATACATATACATATTTGTAGGTTATATTTATATGTATGCGTATACGTGTATGTATACGTGTATGCATATGAACAGGTATGTGTACATGCCTGTACATACAGCTATCCATATGTATATGTGTAGGTATGTATGTGTGTATGCATGCATGTATGTATGTATGTGTGCATTTATGTATGTAGGCATGTATGTATGTGTGTATGTATGTCTGTATGCATGCATGCATGCATGCATATATGTATGTAGGTGTGCATTTATGTATGTAGGCATGTATGTATGTGTGTATGTATGTATGCATGCATGCATGCATGCATGCATGTATGTATGTAGGTATGTATGCGCGCATGTGTGCATGGATGTATGCATTTAGGTATGTATATATTTGTATGTCGTACTGCAACATATTGTACTGGAGTGTATGCCTGCCGCGCAGCCGCATACTTTGGTCCCGTTGTGACTTTCCATCTTTTCAGCTCGTCTTGCCGTTCCATGTCCATGCTGCTGTATGTCTGCCATGTCATGGCCATCCATGCCATGCCATGTCATGTAATGTCTGCCTGTCTGTCTGTCTGTATGTATGTATGTATGTCACAGTTCGTACGTGCTTATGCGTTATGGTTTGTTATGGCTTGCATGCTTGCTGCATGTATGGTATGTAGTAATAGTATGTATGTATGTAACGTATTATTATGCGTGTATGTATGTATGTATGTCTGTATTGTGTGTACGTGTTGTGTATGTTCTGTATGTCATGTAATGTCTGTATGTCTGTAGTCTGTAGGTCTGTATGTCTGTATGTCCTGTATGTCTGTATGGATGTATGTTGTTATGTTGTAATGTATGTATGTATATATATATATGTATGTATGCCGTGTATGTATGTATGTATGTGGTGGTACGTGTGTGTGTTATGTCTGTATCGCATGTATGTCTGTAGTCTGTATGTCTGCCTGTCGTGTATGTCTGTACATGTCCTGCTATGTCTGTATGTATGTATAGATGGTAGTTGTATTTATGTATGTATGTATGTGTGTGTGTGTGTGTGTGTGTGTGTGTACGTCTATCATGTGTATTGATCTTTGGGCCTCGAGAGGGACTTCTAGTCGGCACGGCTGGATTCGGCGGCGGTCCCGCAGCAGCAGGGCTGTCTGTGTATCTGCGCCCTGTGGGGGTGGCCCGCCATGAAGAGAAAGACTGCTGAGGGACGTTCCCGGACCGCCTCGCGTCGTGAGAAGGACACGGCAGAACGATTTTGGCAACTTCCGGCCTTTGGGGGGCCCTTGCCAGGGCCTTTGGACTGTCAAGCTTCGCCGTCGCGGGGTGGCTCGCCATGGGAGACATCCCAGACTTCGAGGATGTTCGATGTTTTTTATGGCTGTTGGGTTTTTTGGGTAGGGAGGTCGGAAGGAGGAGGGGCTTACTGTGAGATCTTTGCGCCGCAGTTTTCTAACACCAAGCGTTTTCGCTTGATGTGGGCTCCCAGGACCCTCACAGATCGATCCGGCTCGAGAAATTCAGCAGAAGGCGGGGTCGAGGGATCCGGTCGTGATTCTCATGGCGTTGCAATGTTCATGCGGCGACGAATCCCTGGGAAAGGGGCTCATGAGGAATTCGTGGTACTTTTTGGATGCGTTCCGATATTTTTGGGCCTCCAGGCGGGCTTTCGTCTCCACGGTGAGATTCTTTCAGATATCCCAGATAGAGGTCCAGGAGTAGAATTTCAGGGCCGCCATGAAGAACCGGGGTCTTGAGTAAAGGGGGGATCGGGTTCTTTGCCGTTTGGCTTCCTCAGGGCGCCCGTCATTGGCTATGGGCCCGCCAAAAACGAGAGGGGCAATCGGGGGCGGCCAAGAGGGGGGTGATGACTAGCGGGTGTGGATATCGTGGCTATGATATCTCCCCTGATTCCATGGCACCCCTTCGAATTTCAATGCGTCGCTTGGCCCCGCCTGCGCCGCGCACATACCCGGGGCCTCGATTTGCGAAACCCCCTATTGGACGCTCGTGGAGGCCCCCGAAGAATCGGTCCAATGCCCAGGTGGCAGGCCGTGCTCTTCGTCGCGGAGGCATACCACGCCGCGCCCGGCAGGGTGTCCCTGGGGGCGCATGCCTTGTTGGCGGCCCTGGTCTTCATTGTGACGGCGGTGGAGGAGGATTTCTGGGCACGCCAATTGTACGCCTACTTTCCGTGGCTCGTTTTGGGCACCTTCCAGGGGCCCGCCTATCGAATCCGTTCGTCTCTACTTCGACTCTACTTTGTTTCTAGCTCGACCCAAGTTCGACGCAAGTTCGACTCAACTTCGACTCAAGTTGACGGACGTTCGATACAGCATCGACGCATGAGTGGAGCGAGGGGCTCCAGGAAGGTCCACAGAACAAGCATCTAACCCCTACACCGACACTGGCCAGGACCAGTGTTGGTGTATAGTTGGCGCCATTTGGCGCCCTCCCAGGATTGGAATGGCATTCCCATCGTCGGGGGGAAGCTTAGCTTGGGCGTCAGGGCCGCGAAGGCACGCTTGGGCAAGCCATTCCGGGGCGTTCTCGGGTCGACGGCGTTCATCGTGCCGCTCTCGGTCTACCTGTGTGCGTACAGCGCGCCTCTCATTACAACAAGCGTCTCGGCATGGACGCCTTTCATGTGGTGTTCCGTCCTCATCCTCAGCACGGTGCTGCACGCCGCGAACCTCGTTCGCGCCATCCTCTCGCTCGTCATGTGAAGGCCAGCTGCTCGGTGACGAATGCACGAGGGGCGGACGTCCAACGCCTGCATATGAACGCAGAGCGCACTCCGCTTCGAAGCGGAGGGTCAGCTTTGACCTCCGCGCTCGCCAAGTCTTACCAAGTCATACGACGCGCACCCGCGTTCCTTTGCATTATCCCTCCTGTGGCCGGACCGGTATGGGGCCCATGTGGGAGCCCTCTGAACGAAGCGCTCCAGGCACCGATGGTGCACTCTGCGAATTGCAAGGCCCCTAGCGCGTTTCCACGTAGTGTGTCTTTCCCGTCGCGGGGAGCGCATCGCCCCAACGCCGCTGGCTGTGGACGACTGGTAGTTGCCTCACCGGCTGCCCTCTCTCTCTCTTATATACATTTATTTAAGACGGTTGAGGGCTGCGCCCGTGGACCATCCAACCAGTTTGCCGCATTCGGAACGAGGTAATTTACCGGCGCTGCCGGTAAAAAAGGGCGCATCGCACAGGGAGAGCGGCGGTCTGCCTGCTCGTCGTCGTCATCGTCACTTCTGTCTTCCGCACCTTCCGCAGGGCAACGTCACGGGGGGAGAGGCTCGGGGGGGAGAGCATTGACCCCCAATGCCCATTCATCGACGATAGGGGTCTGACAGCCCAATTGGCCCAGGAACGTGCGGTTTCACCTTCGGGGTCTGTCGCCGATTCCAGGTCGATGTCACCCCCCGTCAGCTTGTCCCCCCAAGCCAGTCCTTCCATCTTCTGTGCCCTCGAAAAATAATGCAACTTTTGCAGGTCGTGTCGAAGGATCATCCAGGAGACTTTCCCGGGGGTCGTCATGCCAGGTCTATTTCTGGCGGTACCGCGGCCCGAAAACTGCCCCATGAGGCCAAAAACAACAGAAATCCGAAGGCGGCGGAAAGAGCGACGGCGATGGCGACGAAAACGACGACGACGCCGACGACGACGACGGCGACGACGACGACGACGACGGCGGAAACAAATCGACGATTCAAGCTGCATTGCAGTCAAGACGCTGAAATAAGGACCGCTTTGGGTTCCGGAGGGCTAGGGTTTTCGGGCCGCTCCCTAGGTTGACGTCGTGGAACCTGCTTGTGGCCTAGATTCTTTGCTGCCAGCCACGCCCCTTCGTTCCTCATTGTCCGTTCCTGCTGGTAGCGTGGGGACCGTACTTTTCCAGGGCAGGGTAGCGCGGGAGAGGCTGCGGCCTGCTGCTGGCCGAGGGCGGCGTCGGCTGGGACTGCGCCTCGCAGCTCCGCGCCCTGCGCGACGCGTGCGCCCGCAGCCGTGCGGAAGAGGCGCCCCGGCCCGCCGCCGCCGGACCCTCGGTGGCCCTTCGGCGAGGCGCCTCGGCGGCCCTTCGGCGCGCCCCTTGGGCGCGCCCTTCGGCCCGTGCGGCGAGGCGCCTCTGCGGCCCTTCGGCGCGCCCTTCTGGGCGCCCTTCCGCGCGCCCTTTGGGCCGCTGGCGGCTCTTCGGCGCATCGCTGGCCCTCGGGCGGCCCCTCGGCGCGCCCCGCGGTGGTCCTTCGGCGCGTCGCCGTCGGCGGCACCTCGGGGGCCCCTCTCGGCTGCGCGGGCGGCGGCCCGTGCGGCGGCGGCCACGGGCGGCGGCGGCGACGGCGGGCAGGGGAGCGGGGGCGGGTGAAGGAGGGGAGAGGGATGGGATGGAGTGGGGGGCAGCGCCCACAGTAACCAGTCAAGCTTGGCATCGCTCGGACGTGTGCACTCTTTTTCTCGGCGAGGACCATCGAGGAGCTTTTTGGGTGTCTTCTTGCGAGAATGTGCGCGCACGAAGCCGAACAATTGCACTGGGAATGGACGTCCGAGCGATAGCGAGCAAATCACACAGTGAGGATGAGCGACTTTTCAAGGTTACCCCTGCATCCTTCCCCTTCGGCTCGACCTTGGCCAGTTGCGCTGGCCGCGCCCCTCCCGAAAGGTATCGCCATGGCCTTCAAGGCTTGCATCCCCGTCGGGCGTTCTTGTTCTGCGTCTCGGCTGTAGGCGCACGCACTGTGCCGTCCCTCCTCTCTCCCAGGGTTGCCATCGGTAGCTGCCTTATTTGACGTTTTGCTGTTGCTGTATGGAGGATCATCTCAAACGCCTGCTGAGTACACGGAATAAGTGCTGGCCAGCACGAAGTTTCAACCCGTGGGGTTTCTAGGCTGAGCATTCTTCATTGCTACAAGAGTGCGTCACTCCTGATTGGCCCTTATGTGAAATTCCCAGACTGCAGCCCATCCCTAATCAGAGTTGCAACTGCGCCTGGGGGTAGCGGATGAGAAAGTCCGCAATCAATTTTACACCAAACATGAATGAAGCGCTCTAAAGCTGCTTCTGAGCGTCAATTTCAAACTTCGTTTCCTGAAGCAGGAGAGCAATCCTCCCTAGATTGCTTGTCATTTGGTGGAGGGATCTCCTCCAGGTGCACGGCTCCTAGCCGTTGCTGGGATGATGATGATGCTGTTTCTGTTGTTGATGATGATGGTGATGATGATTCTGCTGCTGCTGCTGCTGACGATGATGGTGATGATGATTCTGATGATGATGACGACGATAATGATGATGCTGATGATGATGCTGCTGATGCTGCTGATGATGCTGATGATGCTGATGATGCTGTTGCTGCTGCTGATGATGATGATGATGCGGATGCTGGTGATGATGATGACTATGCTGATGACGATGATGATGTTGCTGATGAGGATGATGATGCTGCTGAGCAGGATGATGATGATGATGATGCTGATGATGATGATGATGATGATGATGATGATGATGATGACGATGATGATGCTGATACTGATGATGATGGTGATTATGATGAATTGGGATGCTGATGCTGCTGGTGATGATGATGCTGATGCCGATGATGATGCTGCTGCTGATGCTGATGCTGCTGCTGATGATGATGCTGATGCAGCCGCTGCTGATGATAATGCTGCTGATGATGATGATGACGATGATGATGATGGTGATGATGATGATGATGATGATGATGATGATGATGATGATGCAGCCGCTGCTGACGATAATGCTGCTGCTGCTGATGATGATGATGATGATGACGATGATGATGATGGTGATGATGATGACGACGATAATGATGATGCTGATGATGATGCTGCTGATGCTGCTGATGATGGTGATGATGCTGATGATGCTGTTGCTGCTGCTGATGATGATGATGCGGATGCTGGTGATGATGATGACTATGCTGATGACGATGATGATGTTGCTGATGAGGATGATGATGCTGCTGAGCAGGATGATGATGATGATGAGATGATGCTGATGATGATGATGATGATGGATGATGATGATGATTGCTGATACTGATGATGATGGTTGATTATGATGACTTGGGATGCTATGAGCTGATGGTGAGATGATGCTTTTGATGCCGCTGGTGAGTGTGTGCTGATCTGATGCTGCTTGTGATGATGATGCTGATTTTTTTTTTGCAAGCCGCTGCTGTGATAAATGTGCGGATGATGACTGAGATGATGATGACGATGATGAATGATGAGATGATGATGATGATGATGATGGATGAGGATGATGATGATGGAGCTGTGATGTTGATGATGCTGCTGCTGCTGATATGATGATGTTGATGATGCTGATGATATGCTGCCCCTCTGCTGCGGCTTGCTGCTGCTGCTATTGCGCTTTTGCTGATGACGATGATGATGCGTGCTGCTGATGATGATGATGATTGATGATGATGGCGGATGGATTGATGAGATGCTTGATGTGATGATGCGATGATGCTGATGATCGATGAATGATGTTGCTGATGAAGATGATGATTATGATGATGATTGATTAGTGATGATGATTGAGGAGATGGTGAGTAATGCTGATGATGATTGATGCTGATGATGTGCTGATGATGATGATGTTGCTGATGAATATGATGATTCATGATGATGATGATGCTGGATGATGCTGTGATGATGATGCTGATGTGATGATGATGATGAGAGATGATGATGGATAGTGATGATGAGGTGAGCATGAGGAGGATAACGAGGTCGGGGAAGTGGACGTAGACGGGACGAGGACGAGAAGCATGATTATAAAGGAGGAGGAGGAGGAGGAGGAGGAGGAGGAGGAGGAGGAGGAGGAGGAGGGAGGGGATGAGGAGGAGGAGGAGGAGGCGGAGGAGGAGGAGGAGGAGGGGGAGGGGAGGAGGGGAGGAGCGGAGGAGGCGGGAGGAGGCGGAGGAGGCAGCAGAGGAGGCGGAGGAGGCGGAGGAGGCGGGGGAAGCGGAGCAGGAGGAGGAGGATGAGGAGGAGGAGGATGAGGAGGAGGAGGAGGAGGATTGGGAGCAGGAGGAGGAGGCGGAAGCGGAGGCGGAGGCGGAGGTGGAGGCGGAAGCGGAGGCGGAGGCGGAGGCGGAGGAGGAGGACGAGGAGGAGGAGGAGAAGGAGGCGGAGGAGGCTGGGGAGGAGTAGGAGGAGGAGGTGGAGGATGAGGACGAGGAGGAGGCGGCGGAGGATGTGGAGGAGGAGGAGGGGGATAATGTGGCGGAGGGGGAGGATGATGATTAGGAGGAGAAGGAGGATTAGGAGGCGGAGGAGGAATCAGAGGCGGATGATGCTGATGGTGATGATGATGTTGCTGCTGATGATGATGATGCTGATGCTGCTGCTGCTGCTGCTGATGATGATGATGATGATGATGATGATGCTGATCAAGCTGATGATGATGCTGATGCTGATGATGCTTATATGCTGTTGATGATTATGATGATGATACTGCTGCTGCTGATGATGATGGCGTTGGTGATGGTGATGATGACCACGATGATGATGATGACGCTGCTGCTCCTCCTGCTGCTGATGCCGATTATGCTGGTGATGATGGTGATGATGGTGATCATGCTGATGATGATGCTGGTAATGATGTTGATGGTGATAATGTGGGCAATGTTGCTTATGATGATGCTGATGATGCTGATGATGATGTTGATTTCGCTGGGTATGGTTCAGATGCTGAGGCTGAACACGGTGATGATGATGATGATGATGGTGATGATGATGATGCTGCTGATGATGATGCTGATGCTGATTATGATGTTGATGCCGATAAGTTTGATGACGATGCTGCTGACGATGATGCTGCTGATGACGCTGCTGATGGTGATGATGGTGACGATGATGGTGGTGGTGGCGATGGTGGTGGTGGTGATGGTGATGGTGATGCTGATGCTGATGATGATGCTGCTGCTGATGATGCTGAGACTGCTGATGATGATGTTGCTGACGCTGCTGCTGCTGATGCTGGTGATGATGATGCTGATCTTGAATGGGGGTGATGATGACGATGGTGATGCTGATGATGATGCTGGGGATGATGATGCTGATGATGCTGCTGATGATGATGCTGATGACGCTCATGATGCTGATGACGATGCTGATGATGATGCTGCTGATGATGATGGTGCTGATGCTGATGTG